CATCGTTCCCGTATAATCCTGCCTGCCATGTTATAATGGCATCGCGCTGTCTCCCTCCTCCATTCAGAACAGGTAACGGCTTCGTTGCTGAATCTATTTTTGTCGATCTTCGGAAGCCGTTGCCGTGCTGCTACGCCTCCAGCTGTCACAAGCGAGTAGCAGTTTCTGATCGCCAACTTTTCGCAGTCTGGCCTCAGTTCCTTTTGTTGACGCTCCATTGCGACGAACAAGCCGGTATAAAAATCGGCAATACCATGAAGGACAGATGGCTAAATTTTGGGGCAGATCTCTCCACGGTTCTTAACCATCCTTCTTTCTCATCTAGGCTTGTGACCGGCAATGACGATACTTTCGCCGAGCATAACATACGAACTTTCAACTTTAGAAATATTGAACGCAGACGTCTACTTCAGTCGAAATCCTTATTACCAATTCGTTCAGAATGTAGACATCTAGCAAAGCTCAATAAAAAAGATTTCGTGGGGAGAGCTGTATTGGGAATACAGCAATACACGATTATGTATCATAGCATTCTGAGAATCTGTTGTAAGACGGATAGGATAAAGTGGAAATTATCCTAGCAGAATCAAAAAGGCAAATAATATGATTCCTATAACAAACTTTTAACATTCGAAACATTAAAAAGCCGTAACAGAAAGAAGACCTTCTTAGCGGAATACGGTCAACTTTGGAATTTAGAAGCAAACCGTTTAGTTTCACGAAATTCACGACACTTGAAAACACACAAATTCAGTAATCAGACATGGTCATGATCCCATTTCGCAAAAGTCTCAGTAATATAAACAAAATACTTAAACTTCAGAAGATTCATTTGGCTTTTTATCTTGCCAGTAAATGAAAATCTGACTCAATAAAATAACGTCAAGAAAAATTTGAAAAAATCCGCAAAGCTTAAATTGTAATGGAGAATACCGCATGAAAAAATAGATGGTCTTCAAAATATCACTAACCAGCCAAAGTAAAGTCATCCTGTAGCTAAAATAGCTGAGTTCAAATACCTGACTCGATGTTTGCGTGGCTTACCTCAAACCGACCGTCGACTTGCGTCTGTAGTTGTGCCAAATTTGGGGCGTTCCAAGATTGGCTTCAAGAAGCAAGGCGACTGTACCAATCAATTCGGTATAAAGCTCGACTTCAGCAAAACATAAAGTTACTGCAGCAAAAAAGATGAAAATCGCGCATGTAGCGATGATGAAGCTTGTCATATCGGTCCACTGCCAAAAATAATTCAGATCTGCTCCCGCTGAAAAAACACAAGGAACATTTGATGGCCAAAAAATTATCACTATGGACTTCTATGCTTTAGAAATACTTCGAAATAGAAAAAACGAAAAGGCCGCAGTGAATTTATAGTGAAAACTGTAAAAATTTGGACAAACTCGCTAAATTCAACTAGCCAGAAGCCACCATCTCCTGCCGGCACCCGAGTGTTAGTGAAGACAACGTTTGTAAAGACGAAAGAAGGGTTTCGAACAGAACACACAAGTGGCAACGTACACTTGAAAAATCGAGGCCATCAGTTATATTCCAACTGCCTTATATGCAACATTCTTCTACCTATGGGCAGTTTTCGATGCAATCCCCTACCAGGTAATGTTACGTGTTACTGGCCGTTGCGAAAGTCGAAGGCAACGGTCAAGTCGAGAGAATGCAATTGCATGAAAATCTTCGTCAGAATTTGAGTTCGTGAACATCTAGATCAGAGTTCATTATGACGAGCGACTCTATCTTTTGACAGCACGAGAACAATGTTCGTTGTGCCAATCACCTTGGCTGATTCTAAGACAACTGCCTTCGTCATTGAATGAAACCTTACTCACTATGGCATATCTGTATGCATCTCGTTCATGCATACTGCGTGCTTGCCTCAGGAATGGTCAGTCTTTCGCCTTTACCAGCTTAATGGCATAATCACGTCCAATCCAGGAATACGAGTGAAATTTCTGCAGTGTTTCACTTTGCCTTCACAGGACAACGTTACATCGTCACAGCCGGTAACCTATAACTATCAACATCGAACAGCTCACAAATTGCATTCGTGAATACTGATGTGGTACATCTTATTTTAGCTAAAATGCAATAACGACTATAAGGATCGTTCTTCATAAAAACGTCTATCGTATAAGAACATACAAGTGGAATGGCGAACCACCTCATTAAAAAATTGGCAGTGCAAAAGCTTAACACGCTTGCCGTTGTCATTCGCGGCATCGATCAAGTAGAAATCTTTCACTTCAGTCAGGCAAACACTGCAGACCAATCTGTGGTACTGCACGCAAAGACGTGCGATTGTTTCCGATTCACGAACGACTATCTCATGTCATTTTTTGCATCTTAACCATGCGTGACTGTGCGAACATGAGAAACCAGAAGATGTCCAATCCTTAAAAACATCATATATCCATTTTCACAGCCCAGTAATCCTTCTGGAAAAATGCAAAACAGCTTTTCCTTTTACGCACTCGTTCCAACGACCGTTTGGCGTTGTCCAAGAGTTGGATTCAAAAGTGCAATACTGCTGGGTGTTATCCGTGTCGCATGGATGGAAGTTTCCCCTTTGTCACATCAGCGATGGAACATAATGAAGAAAGAACGCCTCGCGAATACAAGCCAAAAAAAGAGTAAGACCGTTTAATAATGTGACTTACGACAGTAATTAAACTCTAGAAGCTAGTCATTTCTGTGATGAGACAAACTGACCAATATTTTTTGTTTTACTAATTCGCCAAAAAATAAGACTTCCTGTAGCGCAACAAACGAATAGTGCCATTATCCGCATAAAAATTTGAAATTTGCTTCCGTAAAATGTAATAACGAACCATGCAGAGCTTCTGGCATAGCAGACTACAAACTGTTTCACACAAATGAGTATACTGAAACCGTTTTACAAAAAAATACTGCTATGTTTACCTAGTAAGGAGATCTTTTCATTTGGTTTATGCCTTCTCCTTACCCAAACAGAAGTGTTAACCATGTACAGCATACAACCGATCATAAAAACGCTTTGAAGCAGTAGAGGTATTTCAAAACGCTTTCCCCACCTAAACATAAATACAAACTTCGTTAGCGATTACAACAAAAACTATTTGAACTCGAGAAGTTTATCAAAGAATAACACCGTCATTATCTTGAGTGAAAACTGCAATTCGAACAATATATTTAACACTTTTATAATATTTTAACAGATACAGTTAACAGGATAATTTCAAAGCATATATCCCTTCTCGACAACAGTCACTCAAGCACTGACTTGAGATGTCGGTAAATCACCATGGCTTTTAGGCAGGTTAAGTCACTGACTGTCAAAGCGTAAATTATTGTCAGACTAAAAGCGAACATCCTTCAGAAACAGGAAAGGACCCTCATGACAATATTCACTCACAGTATAAACTAAACCTAGAGAAGACGAAGAGCACTGTGTTCTTCAAAGAAAACGATAGCACTGAGATTCAGGTTAGATTACAAAGTTAAGGAGGCCTAACAATTTAGAAAATTAAAAGGAAAACAATGGCGATCAAACTATGGTGGACTAAAGGAATGGTCGGCTAAGAGAGGCAGTCAACTTAATACATAAAAATTTTCTTAAGAGTTTTTGATTTTCGGCCTATAATTCATAAATGGACTATTTTCGTGATACGTGGTTAGGAAACCTAAAAATAAAACAGCGATGAAAAAATTATGCCAACAATCGATGAGCTTCTACCACCAGTAACATCATCAGGACTGAATGAATGAAAAACTAAAGTTAACATTTTGCCACAGCAACAAGGTATTAATATAATTATGATGGTATTAGTAACATAATTCTGAATGACGTCATTCAATGGCGAAATCACACTTTTTTAAGAGATTGCTGACTGAAGTCCAGCTCTGATTATATCAAAGGATAAATAGCATTCACTGCATACTTCGGTGCCAATACACGAAGGGACT